AAGAAGAGCAGTTCTTCAGTCTGTGTCTTAGGGTGGGGCTTTGTCATGCTGTCAGTAGGTCTATCGCCATTGCTTTAAGAATTTGAGGCAGAACTTACTGTTTTCTACATGCACATTGTTCTTGTAGCTCAAGTAACCCAAATCCTTTTGGCTGTAGTCCTAGACCTAAGCAGGGAGTCTCCACCATTCTCAGGATGACTGTGCTTTCCAGAGTCAGGCTCAGATTTCCAGCCTGGACAACTTCTCAGACTCTGGTGTAAGGGCTGTGATTTTTCTGGATACATTGTATTGTTTGCACAAGTGCAACAGATTACTAAGTAACTAATCTAGAAACGGTCAAACCTTAAAATCACTTCGTACTTAAAAACTTCCATTGGACTAGGCAATGGTGGCCCACGCCTTTAATCTCAGTTCTTGAAAGGCAGAGGCAGGCAGATTTCCGTTGAGTTTGAGGCCAGCCTGGTCTACAAAGTGAGTTCTAGGACATCCACGGTAGTTACACAGAGAAACCCTGTCTCAAGAAACTTACAAGAAAACAAAAACCAAAAACCTCCATCGGATTTCTATTATACTTGAAAATAAAATTTAATTCACTCAACCATTCAGTAGCTGAGGGCGGTAGTGCACTTCAGAAACCTTAGCACACTAAAGGCGGAGGCTGGAGGATCAGGAGTGAGGCCAGCCTGGGCATTATAGTGAGTGCCTTTCTCCAAAACCTTGAGATTTCGCCCTACATTCTATCAGGCAGCATTTCTGGAATGACTAGAAAGTTCTTTCTCTAAACAGGATTACGGCACAACAGCTTCCACTGCTGCCTGGGTCACCTCTTGCAAGTTGCCTAGGGAACATACACCCCTCATTTCAAAGTCCTCAGCAACTCTTCTCTTGAGCACAGCTATTTCTGATTTGGCCCAAAGCCATCTAGACACAAGTTTGGATAGCATACTGGCTAATAAACAAGATAAACAACAAATGGGGCCGTGGATGTTGCTTGGGGATGTACTTCTATACAAATATGAGGACATGACGTCTGGTCCATGGTACCCACATAAAAACTGGGTATGGTGGGAGCATTTGTCACCCTAGCATGGGTGGGTACAGTCAGGTGAATCCTGGGGTCTCACTGGCCAGTTAGCCTAGCCAAAACAACAAATTTCAGGTTAAGCGGAAGTAGCCTTCTTAACAAGAGGATGGAGGTAGACAGAAGACGACCATGCTGACATCGGCTTCCACACATGTGTGCAAGGGCAACACGCACCCTCCACCTCCCCAAAAGAAAATGTGTAGCATGAATAATAAAACCCAGAGACAGACACTAGGGTTCAACCTAAAGATCAGAAAAGCAAAGCAGCTAACCACTAGAGAGACCTTTTACCTCTACCAAATCTTTAGACTGAAGGGGCAAGATCCTGTCTCCACAAACCCTCAAATTCCACTGAATTCCTGTCTCTCCCCTTTATATTCCTCTCTCTGCCCAGCCGTATTGTTCCTGTGTCCACCTCCCTAGTGCTGGGATTAAAGGTATGTGATGCCAAGTATTGGGATCACCTTTGTGTGACTTCTGTTTCTCTTTTAGACAGATTCAGTTGTGTGTGGTCCAGGATGGCCTTGAACTAACAGAGAATCCCTCCGCCTCTGTCTCCCAAGTGCTGGCATTAAAGGTGTGTGCCACCACTCCCTGGCCTCTATGGCTGACTAGTATGGTTACTTTGCCCTCTGATCTTCAGGCAAGCTGTATTTATTAAAACACAAATAATACACCACTACAAAAATGTCAAAAGCAGGCAGTGCTCTTTAGGTTGAAAATTTAAGATGAAACCCTGAGAACCTATGTCCAGCAGCAGTGCTGGCTGCTTTCACCCATGTGGGGGACCTGTCTTACTCAGCCTGGGAAAACTGTGTCCCTGTTGAGTGGTGACACTAGTGCTCTTTCTCAGCAGGGTCAGCAGCTACAGCTGACCTGTTGGACAGGACCTACAGATCTGGCCACTGATGTATGTCTTGCAATATCTGTGGCTTTGGACCTGAGCCTTGGTGTTGCTGTGTAGGTTATTTTTGTTTGGTCCTGGAGATACTTTGCAATTAACACAACAGCCTCTGGAAATCTGAAAGAAAGAAAAGGTAATTGACATGTCAGTTGTTTGTAGCATGTAATGCATGTTGATCAGCCATCTCCATCATGCTAGTATCACAGGGCCAGAGGACCAGCCAAACAGAACTGTTAGCATGCTAGAAAGGCTCAGGGGACCAATTACAGACCTTCCACTTCCTATGCAGTTCCAAAGTTTGGAAAAATTTAATAATCTAGGGCTAGGAGTCACTCTCCTTCCTTTGTACTCCCAATATGGGATGTGGGAAGAAAACAAGAACATGGTTCTCGAAGGACAGCAACATACCCCTAAGTCCCATTCATTATTTGAGGGGGAAAGGCGGAGGCCTGTTGATTCAGAAAATCTCACTACAATCCTGGTTACAGTACAGTCAGACACTTCTGTTCTCTCCTTTATAACCTGGCCTATAGAAATCCAAGTTCAGGAGCACTGGGTGAGAGTCCACAAGGTATGATGTCCAAACCTCTAGCTTCAGTAAAGAGGGATGTTGGAGAGGTTGACTTTAGATGGTGAGTAGCGGGACAGTGGGACACACGAAAAGGACACCAAACCACTAGTGTGGACAGGCGGGTAAGGAACACCAGCAACCAGGGATGTGAGTGGACCTTTGGCTGAGTTGGTAAGGAACCCATCATATGATAATCATTTCAGGAGTCTGTTCTTTATCTGTGCTGTGCTGGTAAGGACAAGCTAGAGCCATTTAAGAGGCGGGATCCTCAACTGAGAAACCCCCTCCACAAGACTGGGCTGGAAGCAAGCCTGTAAGGCATTTTCTTAATTAGTGGGGAGGGCGCAGCCAGTAGTGGGTGGTGCCATCCCTGGGCTGGTAGTGCTGGAATGTATAAGCAAGCAGGCTGAGCAGGCCAGTAAGCAGCTCTCCTCCACAGCCACTGCATGAGCTCCTGCCTCCAGGTTCCCGCTGTTTGATTTCCTGCTCCCTTCGCGAAGGACTGTGAAACCAGAGTGTGAGCAAAATGAACTCTTTCTGGGCCAAGCTGCCCATGGTGACGGTGTTGGACACAGCAAGAGAGAGCCTAACTGAGACACGTGCCCAAGTTAGATTTTAGGGGATCTAATTTTACTTTCCTACTGGCTTGGAATTAAAATTTTTAAAATGTATCTTTAAAATAGCTGAAAGGGAAAATGAATTCATAGCTGTGAAAAGAACAGCATTCTTAACCCACCTGAGAAAAGGCCTCCTAATCCCAGAGTAGCAGAAGCCCCAAACAGGAAAAGCCCTGAGATTGCAGAAAAAGCCTGTGCTCTGTGGGGACTCTGAAGCAAAGACCACTCAACAGGTCAGGTCTAGGCAAGACCACAGGTTCAAATCCCAAGCAGGGACTACTGTACCTCTTCACAGTCACAGGGTTGAGACTTAGCTGTGGTCTGGGGTTTCTCTAATCTTGGTTATCAACCACATGGGTAAGAAAGAGGTCTCCACCACAGTTATTGTCAATATTTTCAAAAGGCATTGTGTCTCACACCTGAAATCCCAGAACTCTAGTGACTAAGTCAGGAGGATTGCTGGAAACTGAGGCTGGCTGGATTTCATAGTGAATTCCAGGTTATCTAGGGCTATGAGTGAAACCCTGTCTAAAGAACATCCCCCAAACCCAATCCAAAACTCCCAAGTCAAAAATGGCAATATTTTCCTGCTTTAAGTTGTAATGAATTAACCAATCAGAAACAAGTTAAAATGGTAAAGAGTTAAAAGCAAGCGTTTCTCTCTCAAGCTTGGAAAATTTTCCACACTGTGGTTAGCTTACTTTCTCTATTAATCCACTAATTATATATGTTTGTTTTCTTTTTTGTTTTTATTTTATTATTATTCATTTTTTGAGACAGGTCTCTCTAAGTAGCAGTGGCTGTCCTGGAACTCATTATGTACACCAGACTGGCCTTGAACCCACAGAGCTTCCCTTGCCTCTGCAACCTGAATGCTGAGATTAAAGGTGTACGTACCCCAGCACGGCCAGTAATCTTACTTTTTAAAAATTTGGTACTTCCTGTGAAGCCTATGCTTACGCAGTTTATACCATTTTTATTTTTCAGTTTTTTAATTTCTCAATAGCTTGGTAATATCTTCATGAAAAGTTTCTCTAATACAGCCTAAAGACTAAATGAAGAAAAAAGTCCTCTAATCAAGATCTAATCATATTGCATTTCCAAGCATATAAGAAGTTGTAGTATTTATCAATAGGGCTTGCTTTTGCCTTGGTATTTAGAGAATTTAAGTTTTATATACAGTGCTGTTAGCCAAACAATCCTCCCGTCATTAATCACAGGAGTAGAAAGTGAGTACAAATTCAATATTATTAGCATCTGTAGAACAACCTGGGAGGTCAAAGAAAGCCATGGTTCTCCCAGGTAATGTGATTTTCAGAAGAACCAGAGAGGTGACACAGATTTGGTGGTCCACCTCCAGAACCTTGGCGTTCCTGTCTTAAGATGAAAAGTACATTTTATTTCCAGAATCACGAATACTAGCACAAACGGTTTTTTCTTCCCTTTTTTTTTTTAAAATAATAAAAGCAAGACTTTTAAAAGAAATAAAAACAGGATGGGAAGTCAGCCGTTGCAAAGGCTGACGAAGCACGTGCAAGGCCCTGGGGTGTCCACCAGCTCTGCCCAGCAAACAAGAATGAACCCAAACCTAAACAACTGGATGGAAATATGTGGACTGTAATCTTGTTAATGAAAATACAAGTGACGAAGACTCAGGCCCAATCTTGTACACTAACCATGAATTCCAAAACATTTGGCTATTTCGGGTGTATTATTATTTAGCGAGTCTCTAAGTGCAACTCCACTTTCTACATAAGATGGAACCCTGGCCTCATCACTAATTTCATCCTTAAGAGGCATAACTTATCGGGCTTTAAACATCCATCAAGGCTCCAACAACGTTTTATTTACGTCACAGGGGCCCGTGCTTGAGACTAAGAATGAGGTGTTATGATCACATTACATTGTACACATGAACGAAACGGTCAACGAATAAAAAAAATATTCTTTAAGAGGGAAAAAATCCTACAGAATTCCGTTTGCCTCTTCTCGGAGACTGACGAGAGCTTTGGGTCTGCACGGACTGGGTGCTCGGCAGTTCTGCGTGATGGGTCACTCCTGTGTCTGGTGCACCCCTCTCCAGCACCGGCTTGCACAGAAATATAACAGATGAGGACCTGAAGGTAAGCAAAAACGCTCCTTTAAACTGTTTTCTTTTCTTTCTTTCTTTCTCTCTCTCTCTCTCTCTCTCTCTCTCTCTCTTTCTTTCTTTCTTTTTTTTTTTTTTTTCTTTTGGAGACAGGGTCTACTGTAGCCCAGACTGGCTTCCAATTGGACGGAGATGACCTTGAACTTCTGAGCCTCCTGCCTCCACTTCCAGAAGGCTGCGCGACACGCAGGGGTCGAGCCCTACGCTTGGTGCCTGCCAGGCAAGCACTGTGCCAGCCGAGCCACATCCCCAGCTCCTTCCAGACGCCCAGGCGCACTGGCAGGGACTCCGCTTTTAGAACGTTTGGTCCCTGCACTGCATACGTACCGTCGCCGCCCGGGTTTAGCGGGATCCTCGCGGCCTTCTCAGGCACCCCCGAGGCAGCGCACGTCCGGCAGTCTCCGGAGGGCGGCGCAACGCGAGGAGGCTTGCGGCTCTCGGGGAATCTCCTTAGCCAGGCTCTGACGCGAGGCCGTCAAGTCACGGCCTGGTCCCGGGAGCGACGCCATCTTGTCGCCCCTGTCCTCCACAGCGACACGCACTTCCAGGTTTCTGGC